GTACGCTGATTTCTTCCCGAGGTGCGTAGAATGCCGCGAACTTGTGTTTTACGTCCGGACGCCATCCTTTCGATAGTGCGGTGATGATTGCTGCATAGTATCGTTTGGTGTATCGGCATAGTTCCTCTCGTGATACCGGGGAGGCAGTAGCAATGAAATAGCATTTCTTGGCCGCCGCGAATCCGGGCCATCTGTGGCGCCAACGGTAGTGTCAAGTGTAAGATCCGTTGGGATTTGGAGGGCATGAAATTTTAAAAAGAAAAAATGCTGAAGTAACCTGTTAGTTGAGTGGCTTCACTACGATCCTGCTCGGTGGCCTAGTCAGTCAGTTACGCTCAACTCAAAAATTTGCTCCCACCCGCCATTATGCGGTGTTTGAAGCTTGCAACGGACGTGACCTCTATCACCTCCTCTGATAGTTTGTTGCAATAGTTTGCCACTGTTTCTGTAAAGAACTGTGCTCGGAGTCTGGTGCTGAAACGGTTCTTTTTAACTTGAGGCTGTAACCTCTCAAGCTTTGGTGTTCACCAAGTGGAAGTAGCGGTTGCCCGTTTATGTCAACAAAGCCTGTGAGGATTTTGAAATCGTCAATAAAATCTCCCTCCTTCTTCTCCGTTCTAGAGAGAAGAGATTCAACTGATGCAGTCTTTCCTCATATACCCTCCCCCTTAGGTCAGGGAACCACCTAGTGAACCGCCTCTGGACCTCCCCTAGCACCTTTATGTCCCTGACCAGGTAGGGTCTCCAGGCCTGCGCACAATATTCTAAGTGCTGCCGGACAAACGGCTTGTACAGTTGGAGCAGTACCTCCTGTTTCCTCGAGCTCACTACTCGACCCAGCTGGTAAAGGGCCCTTGATGCGGTCAGGGTATTAATGGTAACTGAACTGAAATTGAAAGGGGCAAATGGAGTTATGGTGAGGGGACTGCAAATACCTTTGTGTTAGGGAAAAACAACCGGGGTGCTATAGTGAAATAACACGATTATTATTGCTGTTTGTTTTCCGATGCTAAACGAAAACGGCGCCAAAAAGCATCTTAGGTAACGCCTTCGGTTTCGTCTTCACTTTCTTTTTCGCTTTCCGTTCTCGCTTTGAGTTTCGGTTTTGCGCTGTCGTGCTATTTACGTTTTTTACTATGGCGAGGCAAGTAATTTTGGTGCTAGCATCGGAAAAGTAGTATTTATATTTGCACCAAGATATTTTCCAAAATTATTTACAAATAATTCTTTTTTAATTCATTGCTTATACTTCGATAGTTTTCATGGAAATTCGTGTGAGATTGAGACCATGGCTGGAAAGTCGTTTAAACGAGGGCATCATCGACGGTCTTTCATGGATCGATCGGGAGAAGGGTATTTTCAAAATCCCATGGAAGCACCATAGCAAGCATACATGGACGGAGGCAGATGCTGCTATCTTCAAAGTAAGTAACAGTGATCTGGTTTAACAGTATTTCAGGATTGGGCTGTTGTTACGGGGCGCTATCGTGCTGGCGTTGACAGTCCAGACTGGCCAATGTGGAAGACGCGGTTGCGCTGTGCGTTGAATAAAGCTCCAGATATACAAGAGGTCAGACAGAGACACAACTTGCGTTGTGAGGAACCTTTTAAAGTCTACAGGTTCATCAGCAAAACGGAATCTTTATGGCGTGCTAATGCCACAAGAAACGCGAGCATGATCTTTGATGGCGTGTACAGCTTTCCGAAGATGGCATTTTCGGGGGTTCCCTCTCAACGGCTGGAGTACAATGCGTTTCCCAACGCCACTGGTAAACGCACTGCGTTGATTGTCCAACGTGTTCCTGGGTTGAATACTGCCGCCCGTGCATCGGTCTTTGTGAGTCTAAAAGTTATAGAACTTTTCATTGCGGGGTTTTGGTCAAACTGGTTTACTGTAAACTTGGTATCCCTCTTCGGTCACAGTTCCAGGTCTCTAAGAGCCTTTGAATGCTTTGATTCATATCCATGTCTAATGATATTACAGCTTGCACTTACTCCTAGTTCGAGGTGATCGTAAACGGTGGTTAGATACAGTGACATGGCTGGGTGTCCTTACCAGTGGCGTTCATGCATCTCAGTCTCTTCGCTACCTTAGTCCACTGAAATTTCTCATTTTCCCTTCGACTCTACTCTCAACCTTTTTTCTCTCTCCTACTGTTCATCCAAACGGGCAGCTAAAGACAGCAACCAATACCGGCACACGGAAGTGCCTGGGTAATGGTTTTACAAACTGAGGTCACCGTGTAACCCGCGATGCGCCTATCCATGTTGATCTGACTCACCAAGGAGGTATCAATCTTCCTCAACTTGATCTGTCATGGCACGACGTTAGATGAAGGACAGCTCTGCTGTCATCCCGTTCAATCATGATCAGCGTGTTGCTGTTTACCGCTCCTGGGGTGTGATGACCCCGACGTTTGGTGGCTGTCACCGGCGTGTTTTGGACCCTATGGTCTTAGTTTCGGACCCCGCCACGGCCACAGCTTTGGTGGTAGGCAGCTTTGCTGGGTTAATACTACGTCTATCCTGGTGGGCCATTGTGTTTCGCTACACCGAAACCCAGGACATACGTTGCCTGTTTCCAACAGTAAATCAGATCTAGATGCGAAAACTACAGGGGTATTAGCCGGATTGATATTGCAGCCAAGTTGTTTGCAGTGATACTGCTTAATCGCTTGGCAGTCGTCAGAGATACCCACACTCGCCCGAACCAAGGGGGTTTTCGCCGCGGAAGAGACTGTGTTGAACGAATCTTCACTCTCCGTAGAACTCTGGAACACCGCTATAAGTTCCAACAGCCTACCACTGCATGTTTTATTGAATTCCGCGCTGCGTTTGACTCTGTCGATGGAGAATCCTTGTGGTGTATATTGCGGTCCAACGGGATGCCTGAGAAGTTCATCAGGCTTTTAAAGCCATACTACTCAGGAGTTGGGCAGGATAATGTGACAAGCACTCATCGACTACCCTGGAGAGCAGCTTGGCCCAGATACATGGATCGCGGACCTCGAGTTTGCGGGTTGATGTCGTCGCACTTGGAGACAGCATGGACAACCCCCAGCCTGTTGTCAGTCGTATAAGTCTGTTTGCCCAGTCCACTGGGCTGGAAATCAACACGTCGAAAACGAAGACATTTTCGACTGAAACTTCTACCACGACACGACCCCTCTCGATTAAACGGGAGTTCGTCGAATCAACTGAAGTTTTCAAGTATCTTGGCTCTACGATAAGACCAAACGACCAAGCTAAGGATGAAATCTAACTCCGTGTAGATGGAGGTAGAATAGCTTTCCTACAACTCCTCAAACCAATGTGGAATCGATGCGAAATAAGCTTAAACACTAAGCTTCGGGTTTACCAGGTTTCTATCCTCCCGATCCTCACTTCTTGTGAAACTTGGCCACTAAGAGTACAAGATATAAGGAAGCTCGAAGTCTTTGATCATTGATGCTTACGCCGCATCTTGAAAGTAAATTGGAGAGATCGGATTTCCAATGATGAGGTTCGACGGCGCTGCTTGAACAAGCTTTCAAAAATGCTACAACGCCGGCGCCTTCAGTGGTTTGGCCATGTGCTCCGAAGACTCGACACTCAACTCTCGCGACAGGCTGTAGCCCCCGCACCATGCCGTGGATGGCGTTGCAGACTAGGTGGTCAATTGAAGACCTGGAGTAGTACGATCAAGGCAGATTTGGAGTTACTGGGTCTTCAATCCGTATATGGAATTCGCAACTGGAACCCGAACTGGGTTTCACACTGCGTCAACCTTGCTACCGATCGTCATGCATCGACCGCCATCATTAGAGACATCCAGGAAGCCAACTTATCCTCCCACCAGAGTTAGTCGATCAAAAGTAAAAGTAAAAAGTAAAGTATCAGTAAATAGCAGGTCTACACAAAGATGGGATTCACCCCATCTGCTGTTCATCACTCAAAAAATGGAATGAAAACCCTTCGAAATTACAAAGGCGAAGGTGACAACGGGATCGGAA